AACTTTTGAAGAGACCAAATCCTATATATAGGATTTTGAAAATTCTTGACATCTTTGCACGGGAAGGCCTGTTACAGAAAAAGTAAAGCCCTTGTGCTGGTGAAACTTGGCAGGCATCATCTCTGATAAACACGGAATGCAGACTCCAACAGGTTTTTGAAGAAAGAACTATACTTTGTAAAGTATGATCTACCCTTTCCCAAAAATTGGGAAAATCCTAAACTAGTATGTAGGATTTGACAGACAAAGAGATACACACACTTGTACTTGTTGCTCACTGCCAAAACTGGTGACGTGGGTCTCCCTGGGAGAGGGGAGAGAGACTCAAAAGGAATCTTGGAAAGATGACTCAATTGGCTATTGAATCGCCCAACGACCGACACCCCCTGAAATCCCCAAAACTCTGGGTGGACTTGAAAATGATCCCACTTATGGGCTCACCACACCTCAGTAAGTGGGTGAGGACAAGGTGCAGAAAAAGGAGTGAAGGCATCAGGGTATCCGTCCCGGGATCCAACTGCAGTTACCCCTGCCCGCAGTGAAGGTAATACTTGCTAGTAGTGTGGCTGGCTAAATCAGAGTGGATCTGATATAAGCTTCACTAGCACCATTGATTACACAAGAGTTAATCTAGCCAGAAGCAGTCCATGTAACACACACACACACACACACACACACACACACACTTGTACTTGTACTTGTTGCTCACTGCCAAAACTGGTCACGTGGGTCTCCCCGGGAGAGGGGAGAGAGACTCCAAAGGAATCTTGGAAAGATGACTCAATTGGCCATTGAACCACCCAACGGCCGACACCCCCTGAAATCCCCAAACTAGGGTGGACTTGAAATGATCCCACTTATGGGCTCACCACACCTCAGCAAGTGGGTGAGGACAAGGTGCAGAAAAAGGATTGACGGCATCAGGGTATCCGTCCCGGGATCCAACTGCAGGTACCCCTGCCCCCAGTGAAGGTAATACTTGGTACTAGTGTGGGTGGCTAAATCAGAGTGGATCTGATACAAGCTTCACTAGCACCATTGATTACACAAGAGTTAATCTAGCCAGAAGCAGTCCATGGTTAACAGGTATGTATACTTCAAACAGAAAGTATATGAACCCTGAAACCAACAAAGGTGGTAGGTACAACAATACACCTTCAAGCAGCCGAGCCCGTTGGCAACAGGCCTAACACTATCTGGCATAAGTGTACCCACCAACCGAACTAGCTGGCACACACACACACACACACACACACACACACACACACACACACACACACACACACACACTTCTACTTGTTGCTAACTGCCAAAACTGGCCACGTCACACACACACACACACGCCTCAGACCTGCCCATCGCGGAAGCGATGATAGCGAACAGCTATGTTGGACATAGCAACTTGTGCTGGGATTACACCATTCACCAGCTTGCAAGGCTGATGAATTGACCGCCACTGTTTTAGCCTGGTATCCACCACACAGCTGATTGAAGTGACTTTTTCTGGCCAGTGAGTCCCTATTTTTCATTTTTCCATTTTTTCTTCTTTTTTTCTCTTTTTTTCTACACACACCACACCACATACTCCGGCATACACTGCCTGTTGGCAAGAGTACATAACCCCCCAGAGTGTGCAACTCCCACATACCCTGCTGTCCCGACAGAATTTCAAGTGGACGTCATTATTTATGACGCAATGCTCCTTGCACCAGTGATTTACAACATGTGTACGGGTGTCAACTAGGGAGGGCCCGAATATGCTTGCGCATATTTTCGCACATTTTGGTCCTTTTGACACAAGGTCGCATAAAGTAGCAAATCTAGCATATCGTACCAAATGTAGCATATTTTGCTTCAAGGAGCAAAGAATTCGCATAATTATAGGGCAGATTGCGGAAATGGACAAGGAAACTTACCACGGCACGCTCGGTCAGGGAACACTTCCAAACTTAGCCCGGAAGGAAAATGCTCATCCAAACACGGGGCGAAAATTTTATTTGACCCGAGAAGAGAGTCTGTCCCCCGTGAATTCCGCGATTCCGCGGATTGCAGAATTTCCGCGGAATCCACGTTAATTAAGCAATGCGAAAGTTCGAAAGAAAATTCGAATCTGGGAATGAGTACAGAAAAAAAGCTCGAAACTTCGAAAACTTGGACGCGAAGTTGCAGTGATTTGCGAAAGTAACTTTCTCTTTTCTCGGTACGCATTTGACTACAGGGAGTAGTAATTTTACATCCCCCTGCTTGAGACTGAGCTGCATATACGGTACGGTACTATAAGATTCAAATAACTTCGAGAAAAAGTCATTTCGCATTGCTAAACCTCACAAGTTTTCTTTTTCGAAACAGATTTTGCACGAAATATCACCAAAACCAAAAGTTCGAATTTTCGCATTGCTAAACGTCCTTAGTCCACAGAATTCAGAAAATCCCGCGGAATATTGCAGAAAAGAGAAAAAAACTGCTTTTCCTGGAGACTTTCGATGTGTTTTCACAGCCAAACCAACCTGCTTGTGACTTTCAAAATCAATTTGCAGTATATTGTGGAGTTTTCAATTCTTTTGGACCAGGATTTCGCATATTTTTGGTTCGGAATTTATGGGGACAACAAACTTCGGTGGGGTTGCGGAAATTCTATCTGTTTTTACACTTATTTTCCTTGCAGAATTGCTGCAGAATATACAAGGACTTGCAGAATTAGCGCAGAATTTACTGTTTTCAGCCGCAGAATTCTGTACGGAATTTCTGATATTCTGCCGCGGAATTCATGGGGGAGAGGAGAGTGTCTGCGACTCAAGGTCGCATAAAGTAGCAAATCTAGCATATTGCACCAAATGTAGCATAGTTTGCTACAAGGAGCAAAGAATTCGCATAATTATCACTGATATCAGTTCATATTTCGAGCATACTTTTGTGTTATTTCGAAGCATATTTTGAAGCAAGTGGCCAATACTGTATGCGAAAAGCATAATATGCGACATTTTTGAGCATATTTGGGCCCTCCCTAGTGTCAACGCCTCACACGTTTTTCTTTGCAATAATTTGTACAGGGTCGATCGGCTTCGCGTCAACCACAGGTTCCGGATTCGTCTGATAATCCGTGTACAGTGCGCATTGCATCATCAAAATGACGTCAACTTGAAATTCTGTCGGGACAGCACCCATAGTGGAGTTGCACACTCTGGGGGGTTATGTACTCTTGCTGTCGGTAACCACCCAGGAGAATGAAAGAAAAGTCAGGAAGAGTCCGAGAAAGAGAAGAAAGACGTGTGCAACCATAATCGTCGGGAATTGAACCGGCAACCTCTCGATTGCAAATCGACTGCACATACCACTGCACCATATGGGCACACACACACCTCAGACCTCAGACCTGCCCATCGCGGAAGCGATGGTAGCGAACAGCTACATCTTTACTTATAAAAGAGAGGCACCTGTGACGTGTGTCTGTGTGTGTGTGTGTGTGTGTGTCACGCTCCTTATAAAGAAGAGGCACCTGTGAGGCTGTGACGTGTGTTTTTGTGTCACGCTGAAGCGCTGCGGAGCAGCGCTGCCCTGAGCACGCGAAGCGTGCGAACAGTGTAGCACAGTGTAGCTAGCGGCCGCAGAAGCACTGAGCACGCGAAGCGTGCGAATCGTGTAGCTAGCGCGCGGAAGCAGCCACAGAAGCACTGAGCACGCGAAGCGTTCGAATCGTGTAGCCACCACCAAGTGCTGAGCACGCGAAGCGTGCGAACAGTGTAGGTACGGTGCACCGGTGGTAGCGCTTCTAGCAGACACGATCAGTAGATCTCTACCAGGGAGTCGTATAGACCCCTGATCTCTACGAGTAGCAGTAGCAGCCGCGCGCAGAAGCACTGAGCACGCGAAGCGTGCGAATCATGTAGCCACCTAGCCTAGGCCATAGGCATAGGTAGCACTAGCAGCCGCACAAGCGCTGCGGACCACGTGAACCGTTCTCTGCAAATAGAAACATCTGCAACAAAAGGATACAAAAGATCTGCACTGACTGCACTCTGCATCTGATCTGCAGTGAAGAGCGCATCGCACTTTTGTTCGTAAGTAAGTAGTTTATGAATTTTTTGAGCCGCTTCATCCGCCACCAGGTCATGGACAACCCTGACCAGCCTCCCGAAGGCGTAACAGACGTCCCTCCTTCTCCTTCCAACGATGAAGAACCTCCCTCACGTCTCACCAGGACTTCAGCGGTCTGGCCACCACCACGTGCTGAGCACGTGTGCTGTTCATGTACTTGCTTCACCCGCGCATGCCACATTCGGCCAGGCAACGCTGGCGGGGGTGCTGCTAGTGTATGTTAGACATAGCAACTTGTGCTGGGATTAATACACCATTCAACAGCTTGCAAGGCTGATGAATTGACCGCCACTATCACACACACACGCACATACACACTTGTACTTGTTGCTCACTGCCAAAACTGGTCACGTGGGTCTCCGCGGGAGAGGGGAGAGAGACTCAAAAGGAATCTTAGAAAGATAACTCAATTGGCTATTGAACCGCCCAACGGCCGACACCCCCTGAAATCCCCAAAACTCTGGGTGGACTTGAAAATGATCCCACTTATGGGCTCACCACACCTCAGTACTGTAAATATACAAAATTTCGGCGCTGCAAAATTTCGGCACTTCACGATTGTTGACATTTCGGCGGCGATTTATTTTCGGCGTGGGGTAGAGGGCATGATAGTGCGACAGATGCTGTGAAAAATTTCATCGGCGTTTTAATTTAGGCGTTTTGGGTCGGTGCCGAATATAGCCGAAATTAAATAGCTGCCGAAAATTTGTATATTTACAGTAAGTGGGTGAGGACAAGGTGCAGAAAAAGGATTGACGACATCAGGGTATCCGTCCTGGGATCCAACTGCAGTTATTCCTGCCCCCAGTGAAGGTAATACACACACACACACACACACACACACACACACACACACACACACACACACACACACACACACACGATAGACAATTGACAAAGAAGAGCAGCTGTGCATACGGTATTACACAATCATGATCAGCAGCAACTAACGCCAAAACAACGCAGCAAAATAGGGTGAGCATCCCTAGCGCTGGACACGTAGTTGGCTAGGTAAACTTTCAAAAGGACTACGCTGTCCTGGACAAGCATGCATGCAACATGTCACATACAGTGATGCATTGTAATTTGAAGAGCGGGTTGTCAGCATAAATACACAGGAGCACAAGCAAGAGCAGATACATCAGCCAGGGATGCTGGCCAGCTTCACGCATGCATGCCTAATACTTGGGTGGTCTGCCAGCGGGATCCTCGTATGCGCTTGAGCGAGTGGGGTCGAGGATCTACAGCAACACATTGAAAACAGGTCAAACGAAACTAGGTAAGAACAGTGCTAGTTAGCATGCGACTGTACAACAGCAGACTCTAGTTCAGTGAAGCTTGGCTATACTTCAGTAGCAACTCGCTAGGAAGCAAGCAAACAGTGCCCTCACTCCCGATATTATGTCACTACAGCTAATGTAGGTACTTCAGTACACTGGACACAGCAAGCATGCCTGTAGTTTTAGCTTTCTGTAGTTATCGGTGGTTTGTTGTTACACTGCAAACTGTATGTCCTTACATCCCAGCCGAACTGTCTTGCTGCAAAAAAACCCCATAAACAAATACATGAACATGCATGCGCCCGAAAAAGTACCCGGCGTTTGCCGGACCCTGTACCAAACAGAATCCTCTATTGACAGGACCAAGTTTCATGCGCGGAAGTACTGTGGATGGAACGTTGTTCCCTGGATCAAGCGGAATGCTTGTACTGTCACATCAGGACAGTTTCTGGTGCACCAAGGGCGTCCGGTTAGGGCAGGTTCTACTGTACTAGGTTTTGCCCAGTGGTGACCCAAACAGGGTACAGTTCTACCCTTATCCAAAATTACTTGACTTTAGCCATCAAGTATCACTCATTTCTCAGAGCCATTGCCCCCCCCCCCCCCCCACACACACACTTTTGACGCCCATCGCCAGAGGCGATGATAGCATTGCTACAGCAGAAGCCATAGCAACTTCTGGGATTGCACCATTCAACAGCTTGGAAGGCTGAAGAATTGACTGCCACTATTCAGCCTGGTCTACACCACAAAGCTATGAAGTGGCTTTTTTCTGGCCAGTGAGTCCCCCCCCCCCCCACACACACACATGCATGCAACGAATTGAACACACAGTTACACCCACACACTTACAAGACCATTGTCTGTTCTGCTGGAGTATCGATTGAATGAGTCGCTGCTGTTCTTCAAGCTGCGCTGAGATCTCCACAAGCTGCAGTCATGGAATAACCCCCCCCCCCCCCACACACACACACGCACGCACACAAATTCCATGTAACAATTTTCAGTCATGCCACTGCACCAATGATTTCACAAGCAGAAGTCAAAATACGTTCAACTTAGGTAGTGGGCAGCATGATGTGGTGCTACATAACTTGCCAAGGTTCTAATTCATCTCGCGGCTGTAATGTCACATACGGTAATGCAAGAACACAACATACACCAGATCCAGGGTTGCAGCCAAAGCGACTACTAGTACACGCTTTGGCTGCAACCCTGGATCTGGTGTGAGGTGAGATCTGGGGTGAAATTTGGCGTCGGGTCTGGTGAGCGTGGACAGCACTCTGACCGCACAATGTGCCAGTGGTAATCGTTTTACGTTTTTTTATCCGGAAAACCCTGAACCATAATCAAAGCAAGTGGTCTCTCTCTTTCCTGAAAAATTCTATTACCTCAATCAACTTTCCGGCCAGGAGCCATGATCAGTATCGTGCAATGAAGTGGCTACAGTGGAACTTGTGCACCCTAAGAATTTTTTTAAATAGTTATGATCCAGTGGAAATTCTTCTACCTCTACTCAGAGTAGAGACGGACGGACTCCAAAGTTGCCTTGTTGACGGGAGCAGGGCGCACTGAGACAGAAGACCACGCGTATGTTTCACTACCTAAGAAAGCACCAGCTTCACCTCCGGCTTTGCTGGCCTTTAGAGACCATGAGCTTGTGCACAGGTTCAAAACATCATTTCTGACGTTTTTCCTACTGCCATGTACTATTTCCCATATGGGACCATTGCACACCTACATCAAAAGTGGAACGTTACCCCGCAGGTAAAATTCATATCTTGATCCCAACATTTCAGCGCTTTTCCACATCCAATTTCACTGGTTTGAGCAAATCGCCTCCTACCATTTGCCACCATCGAAAGGGAAGAAAAGCATTTTGGACAGGAATCCTAGGTTGAGAATGCTGCACCTTTGAACTTTATCAGACATGGTTAGCATTTCGGTTTCTGACACAACGATCAGCTTGTGACATCACCCGAGTTGAAATCGTACCGTTTCGTTCTCCCGGTAAACAGAGCCTTCTATTGTTGAAACACTACCAAACCGAGGGTACTTTGGGTGCTAGGTACGACTACCGTTGGATTTAGCGTGAACGGTAAAATGCAAACTGTTAGAGTCCTCTCCTAGTGTTCAGTTGCGGTCTTTGTTTCATGTGCAAGCTCAAATGTTCATGCATGAATACCTCTTCTGTTTGTATGATTGTACAGCCACGTGCTTGATGCATGATCTGTTGCTGCGTATCGCAGTGCGCATGTGCGTAGCGCACGGGCGTACGGCAGTACTCATTTACATGTCACTTTACTTTTATGGTCTGCATGCTATGCTCTTTTTGGAGCTATGTCGCAGTTACTGGCTGGCAGTTCTTTAGTTCTTCTCAGGCAGTTGTGCCAACTAAGTCTTTTGTGATTTCCTCTCTTGTTCGCCCTCCCGCTGTTCTGTGTGACAACAAATCAAAGTTTCCGTGCGTTTGAGATTTGCAACCATCGGCAGCATGAGATTAAAGTTCGATGATCTGACACTACTACTGTCGAGGACATGGAAATCCGGTCGCACGTCTAGTGGCCCCAGGGCGCTGGCCATGCAGCCGTGAGTAAGCGGTACACACATTCATTTATGCGCTGCATCATGCTGGTCGCATCGGTCAACATGTGCACTGCACGCCACGTTCTCAGGTTGGCCCTGAGGGCGCCGGCCAAGGTCATTCGACTGGATTTCCATGCCCACGACAGTAGTAACCATGAATGTTATGTTGCGGTACACCGTCACCGTGGAGCAGCCGTCTGACTCTCCGGGACAAGCATACGCATGATGGGGGTCAGTAACACAGTAGCTGGCGTGGCATTCTTATGCATGTATCCAGCATCAACCTTTTATTGAACTTAGTTTACTTCTTGAGACAAGAGACAATGTGTGAAGGCGGGAGACCCCGTGACAGCCAGTCTCACGTGGACGTTCTGGATGCATTCGAATCAACATTCACGCTCCGAACTCCCCCAAAAAAGTACTGTAGCCAAATGTACCCGGCGGAACGCCATTATTGTGTGGAGCAAACACAACGGCCAGTGTCAACGTTTGAACAAGGTAAACATGCTTTCAGACATGCTCCGAGGAAATAGCGTACAAAAATCTGATGCTTGCGAAAATAGTAGTCTTGGTTGACACTAGTTGCAAGTGCGAGTGCAACAGCAATACTTTTTTTTCTCATGTTCTACTTACTTCGTTTCCGTGCCGCTGTAGGCCAGATGGAATCCGATGCCAAGCAAGAACGATGTGCAGGTTCCCAGTGCGATGGCAAGCGGGATTCCCTGAAACAAGTCGGTTACGAAACATAGTGGAGCACAATGGTCACCTAAAATCGTAAGGAAGTGGCCTGCAGAGGAAGAAGGAGCTTACTGAAGCCAGGTCGGAGCGATTCTTCATGGCCAGCTGCCACATAAACTTGGGAAGCTTGGCATGGGCGCCCTGGCCTTTCCCCATCCTGATGGTTTCAGAGGAACAAACTTTTAGCTCCTTGGTATACTTCAAGTAACAGACTCAGTTGGTTCAAGTCTTCGGAACAGTAGCTCTGGCTTGTCTTTGCAACTGTAATAATACAGTTTACTTGGGCACTTTCTGCACCACTACACGTAACGCGACCGGGACCGCATTCAGCGCACAGTGGAATCTCTCTTTCTTTTTCGCAACTACAATAACTATACATGTAGCATTTCGCAACACTAGGACATGTGTTGCGAAATGCTACAAAAAACGTTTGCGAAAACTGAGTGAAATAATGCGCTGAGCTCAATTTTTATTTTATTTTATATTCTACATGTTACCGCCACATTTACTGATTGCGATTGCGGAAATTCCTAAAATATACTACGTCTACTACCGTACTGGCAATATATGTTGCCGCGTAACCCGCAACGCAGGGGGTGCGGCGTAACGCGCGACCAGGCTAGTGCGACAAATTTTCGTTGCGTTCGTAACGCGCGTCCGGCGGGGTGCGGCGATCTTTTCATTGCATGCAGTTTGCAAAAAATGATGCGGCAATAGCAAAAAAGTGATGCGGCAATAGCAAAAAAGTGATGCGGCAATAGCAAAAAAAGGACTGCGGCAATATAGAAACCTGTGTAACGGCTCCTGTGCGACTTTGCATGTAACGCCCTGCGTGCGGTAAACATGTGCCAATGTAACGCTTCATGGCCTCACTGCGACCATATATTATATTGCCAGTACGGTACTACTCAATTTACCACACAAAGGACTGAATGAAGTAGGGAAATAATCATCCCATGATCTTCTACAATGTGAATGCTTCCACGTACGCGCATGTCATTGTGCAGCATCCGAAACTTCAACAAAACAATGATTCAAAGAGACGTTATTCAAGATAAGTCATGCATTTCTACGTTCACTGGTATAATCAAAGATTCCGTTCAAGGCAGCTGCCATGGTGTGTACCTTACCACCTTTAACACACGTTGTCAGTCCGCTCATTGACTAGCATGAAATCGTTTGTAGCAGGAGTACTCTTGTTTGTAGTGAGGATCAATCTACAAAATACTATTGGTAAAAACAATCCAGAGTCACCTCGATGGAGACGGACAGTTCCTACGAGACCTGCCTGTCGACATCAGGGTCAAGTGGCAAGTCATTTAGCCGTTACGCACGACAATCTCAGGAACACCAGTCATGTCCTCCTCCGACGAACCAGCTACTGTATGTTACTTCAGAACTCAGAACGACACAATCATACAAACAGAATGAAAAATGCTTCATCGACGGTGTGACTTTGCGTTTCGCTTCGTGTTTCTTTGTGTTTCTCTTGAAAATCTAGCAAAATTGAGTCATTCGCATGAAAATGTCTGGTTACGTCAGCGAAACCCGCTGATTTTCCCCATTTTTCAAGCGCTGAATGGCGCAAAACTGTGAAATCACGGCAACGAAATAGTGTTCGACGAGCGAACAAACCTCCTTGCACCGGCATTGGTGCACAGCTTCGGGACGGCCAAGTTCTCAAATCGTCCTCTAGAGACCCTTACCTACCTCTGTGCGAAGTTTCAAGTCCTCCCTCTGAAGTGGCATACCCCGAAAATAAAAAGCATCCTACAGATTTCAGCTCCCGGACTATCAGACGTCTAGACTCTAGACTGTCACCATATTATGGCCATGTATGATGTACCAGGTCCAGTGCTGCCAAATAATTTTCGCCCAAAATCGGACACCCTTCACCGCCAAGGCTGGGCACATGGTGCGAATTTTTCTCCTCGGCAATTTTTTTACAGAGAATTCAAAATATCGCCTGAAACACCATGAAAATTCGCTTCGTTGCCATGGTAACTCCGGAGTTGTCATGAATTATTAATTTTTGTAATGATGAGTGTGGTCGCACACTGACTCTGTACGGACTGTCAGCGAACATGCCATCCAGCCTGATCCAGGCATGTTACTTTGCACTTCCACAGCCAAGCGCTAGCCTTTTTAGAAGCAAATGTACAGTGATTTGTGCCTTCAGTTGCGCTGAAAAGTAAAAGCACAGGACTTCTGCATATGAAAGTAATGATCTCCGACATTTTGGCTGCTTTTCGGACGTTTCCCTTTTCGGACCGGTTTTCGGAAGAGCCTTTAAAAATCGGACACTGTCCGAAAAATCGGACGATTTGGCAGCACTGCAGGTCACTGAGCTGTGTAGTGTGTGAGATGAGGTGGTGCCTGGTGCCATGGTGTATTATTATCCTTTATTGCTGAACCCACAAATAATTGTGATACAGATTGCAAACCATTCGAGGAATTGGAAGAAGATAAAGCCATTAAAAAAAAGAAAAAAGAAAAAATGGGTTATTGTACCATGCCAGACGGCTTAATTAAATCATGTACATACATGTAGACCAATCCCGAAAAGATTGTCTGGGTTCGAAAGGGGGCATGTCACCTGAGAGTACACTGTACAACACATACATGTCACTACCTCAGCATGCGGCACAAGACGTGTCTGATTGTTCGCGTGTGAATGCGAGGGTAAGTACACGGTTTTCTCTTTAGTTGCATGCAAAAGAGACGATGCGACAGAAAGCAAAGCCCTTTGTAGTTTTCTCTCTCGCACTGGTAATGGTCTGCTGTTGGAGTTGAAATGCTAAGACATAATCCTTGTTTCGCTCTTCGGGTAGTGTGAAGAGGTCAACGAACATGTAGAGCTCACTTTGATGAAGTAGGCAAGGCTGTGAGCGCTGTGGCTCAAAGCGATAGGCCCTAAATCTTACGAGATATTTCGAGTGCTATTGTTTGTTGCGAGCGCTTCGTTTTCGATGAGTCCTGCCTCTTTCCTGGCCGCTGCCCTCCTATAGGACCAACCACGAAGTGACTGTACTCATCTGCAGCCGATCAATGTTATATACTAGTAGTGCACAAGAAGATATCGTTTTCGCCAAGCCAGTGCCCCACCAAAGACCATCGCCGTGTCACACCGTCGGAACGAGTTCATGATGAGAAACATCATTCGCGCGTGATGAAGAACTATTTCGAAAGACAACAATCATAGTCTTTACCCCCGGGACGACAACTATGCGCACGTCCTGCAAGGGGAGAATGTCACCAGCGACATCAACGAAGACGACGGCAGTATTTCGGAAACCTGGAGTCAGCGGAGGTCGTCCAGCTCCTCCGCGACCCGGTACATGTACAGTATAGATGACAATTCGACACGAGCGTGCGGAAACACTGCATACACTGTAGTAATGTTGCGAGAGTCTGCGGAAGGAGTCCAAATCGGGAAATCCATCAGCTCCTAAAGCTACCTGTAGGTGGACGATGAGACTCCAGCTTCAGACTACAGCAGTCAGGACTTGTAAATACATGTAGTTGAACTTTGTGAAGCAGCAGATCGAGAAGTTGGCTGAAATCGTAGCTGTTGCAGTATGTCGGCGCTATGTAGCTTGCATTTTTTACGGAGAGTCGATCGCCACGCGAATGTTTCTCTCCTCACCGAGAGCTAGCTGGCCTCCAAACTCCGTCAGGGTCTGCCTAAGGTACCGAAGGTCCTTTGACTAGCTGCTGGCAGGACTCCATCAAATCCTTTCGCTTCAGCTCGGCGAGCAAAAGTCTCTCTCTCCTCCGCCATGAGCTGACACACACAAACTGAATACAAAACGATGCACTTCACACATTCTGGCTTGCACGCGTGCCCCCTTTCACGAACCCAGACAATCTTTTCGGGATTGGTCTAATTAAATATAGTACATGACGTAGTAGTAGTCACGCACCTACAAAATACTTTGCAGGATAATATTTAAATTGCCTAGCATGCCTACAAATCCGCAGAGCACGCCAATGAATACCGAAGGCGGTTACATGGACAGAAGGCGACATCGGTCGAGAAAAGATGGGCCTATTCTCTTCCGCAAGTAGGGGGAGATTACTAGTAGTAGTACTAGTAGTGTCACTACAGCTAGTACTAGTAGTAGCCGTCTGGAATGGTACAATAACCTTTTTTTCTTTTTTCTTTTCTTTTTAATGGCTTTCTCTTCTTCCTCGAATGGTTTACAATCATGTATCACAATTATTTGCGGGTTCAGCAATAAAGGATGTGATACAGCTAGTAGTAGATCTACATGTACAGTAAAAGCTGTCAAGGCGACCACTCGGATAAGGCGACCACCTGTCCCAGAAGACCACTGCAACCATTAACCAGGACCCAAGGATTATGGTCCAGCGGATAATGCTCCGAAAATGTTCGTATAATGCTAACCATAATGCTCCAAAAACTGCCTTATAATGCTGATTATAATGCTTCAGCAAGGGATATAATGCTCTTGGTTTGGGACAAAAATGGAAGAAAGCCTGCACATTGTCAAACTTCCAGGAAATTATGCCGCATATCGTCGATCTGCATCTGAAGTTGCCACCTTATCTCTCACGAGCTCCACCACTTCTTGGCACTATAAGACATGATCGCTTCTCCATTGATTGCTCTCCATTCCAACTTTGATGCATGGTTGTGGCAGAATAGTCGGTGTATCTAATCTTTCCCCTAATTATCCATGTAGTGAGAGATGAAACCATTATTGCAGGTAATCATTCATCGTTGGGATGAACTTATCTTGGCAAATAGTATTCCTGCCTGCAGACAAGCTGTCACTGCGTCCACTCTGTGAATAATGTCTTCATCTGAAACACCAGACGTGAGGCCAGCTCCTGAGATCCGGTCTCAGATGGAGAGCCCTCCCATTTGCGGAAATCCTGAAAACACGTGGCCAGAAGTTATTTTGCCACTTTACATCCTTTGCTTGTGCTCTCATCTTCTCCTTGAGATGGTGTGTAGACACGGCTTGCCACAATACTCTTCCTTTCTGATAGCATTTGACTGTAGGCCTGGCATTACAACCGTCCACAACTAACTGTACGTGCTTCATTAGGAAACTTGGTAAGACAGGCGCTGCTGAGCAATCGACTTGGTACTGAGTCCATGAGAAATTCTAGTTCTTTTCGAGCCTCCTGAGCTGGACTCGGCAAAGGCAGTTCTTTTGGAACGAGCTCTTTCTTTTTATAGCCGCTCCTTCATCCTTGTCCAAATTTAGCAATGCATCAGTGTCTACTTCAGTATCGCTAGAGATGCTATCGCCAGAGCCTCTGGCACAACTAGAAAACTCTTCTTCGTCTGTTTGATATTCACTTCGCGGATGTCTCCTCCATAGCTCTCCATTATTCTAAAAGTAAAAGAAACCTGGTAAGGCCAAACTAAAGAAGGTGTGTGGTTCGACTAACATGGACATTTTTTTTACGGGCGGGCGGGCGGATTTTTTTAAAAATATATTTTTATGAAGTTGGTAAGTTCATATATTTTTTAGTACATGTTAGTATGTAAATACACTGTACTGCCTTTAGACACACAGTACATCGGCATTATTACGCAGTGTTATCACTCCCTTAGTATTGACTCACATAGATTTTTGCCATACCTAAGCAGTCAAATATTCCTGCATATTTCACTCCTTAGGGCTATATTGACTGCTTATCGGGGTTGCGCAGTTGAACGGCGCCTAGTGCAGCATTGTCACTGCATGAGTAGGCCGTGGTGCAACGGTTGTGCAATCATAAAATCGGGATTCATGAGGTTATCGTTCTGGAATTTGAAATACGGACTGTTTGTCGTGATAAATCCAATATTGACTTCGTACTTGGTCAGTATAGGAAATAAAAACCTCGTAAAAGACCTCGGCTTCGCCTCGGTCTTTTACTCGGCTTTTATTTCCTATACTGACCTCGTACTCAGTCAATATTATTAGATACTTATGCCATACATGTTGTATAAAGGGATCACTGGCTAATACTTTGAAACTTTGTGTAGCTCTGGAACGAGAAGAGAATAACTTCAAGCGGTGACTCTGACTGTCCAAATCATCAAGCAAATGAAGAACGATGCGAGTTGAAAGTAAGTTCGGGAACTACTTCGAAGTACAAATTGTACAATGTACCGGTACATGTATTGCTAGTTTGGTGTCGGCGTGCACGAATACATGGGCTTTTTCCATCGACGCTTCCTGTGCTTGCACACATGGAGCAGCAACTTACCGGTACAGGTGAAATATCGTTCCCAATCCACGAGGAAAGTGCAATCTCGTCTGTCCTTCATCCCAAAACAGAAGGCCGTCCTTAAAGGGGACACCACCATTCGCGGCCCAAATCAGACCGCATACAATTGAAATAGACATATCATGAAAACGGATTGGCAGATTGCCTTCAAATTTTCTATGTTCAATCACTATATACTGCTCCACAATGTAGGCACCAAAAAGAGAATTTACAGTTCATCCCAGTAATGCTTGATGGGCTACACAAATTCTTCACGGGTGCGCACTGTGGTATCATCAAGTCTATGTGATGATTAGTTATATTGAAATAGAATAATGCAACGAAGGACTGAGAGAGGACGACTATTCAGGAAACTACCAAGGAAAGACTGAACAGCAACAAGAGGCATGCACTGTCGATTATGGGCACGGAGTACACACATGCACGCATAGTATGAGTAGTATGCTGTAAGGTTGTACGCACGTCCATGCAAGGAGATGCAGTAGCATAATAAGAAACATGAGAGTGCAAATATGTACGATGTACACGGGTACACCACACGCCCCTTCTGAGATAAACAAGCGGAAAATCGGAGCTGTTTATCTCACATAAATGAGAAGGAAAAAACAGAAGTGAGAGAAAAGAAAGTAAACACTAATGAAGCGTGATACCAATACCAACTACTTGTAGCAAGAGTGTGAGGTACAGGTAGGTAGAGTCAAGCATAGGACTTAGATGCTGTGGACGAAATGTTCAAACGCTCTGGTGCCTGGCGAGACCGTTGGCTACGACGAGGCTGCTGCACACAAGGCTGCTGCGGTGCTGCGGGCTCAGCTGGGGAGGTGTCTGCAGGCGGAGCGGGAGGGGCTACGGCAGGGGCAGGCTTGAGAAGGCGACGGTTGCGCCAGTAAACACGGCCGCTGGGTAACTTCACCATATAGTCCCGGTTGCGACCAATGGCGACGACCACGCCGGTGGTGCGCCAGAGTTTGGTGCGCGGATCTTGGATGTCAACCCGCATGCCAATGCGAAGTGGGGACAGTGATCTGGCAGACTCATCATAATGCTGTTCTTGGGTGGCAGACTGAGCGGCAGAGCGCTTGTCAACATCGGTGGCTTTGGCTTGCCAATCAGGAGCAAAGCTGAGATGATGAGCTGTCACGAAGGAGGACAATGGTCCACCAAACAGTGCTTGGGCTGGGCTCTGACCATTTTCTCGGGGGGTGTTGCGCCATTCTAACAATGCGCGTCTGAACTCATCGACGTCCAAGTTACCGTCGGACGTGGTCTTCAACACAAGTGATTTCATCGCTTTCACGGCGGCTTCGGCATGGCCATTAGATTGAGGATAATGAGGTGAAGACGTGGAGTGCTGAACTTGCCATCGGGTGCAAAATTCAGCGAAGCGACGTGATGAAAATTGCGGACCACCATCAGTGGTGAGGATGCTGGGGACACCGACGTCGGCGAACCAGCCACGGAACACACGGATCACATCGGCAGAAGATGCAGTGCGGCCGATCTTGGCGATGCAAGGCCAGCCAGTGTGGCGGTCGACGTAAACCAGGTATTCCCAGCCTTGACAGGAAAATAAGTCGGCACTGGTTGACTGGAATGGCAGGGTGGGACGGCGGTCAGTGGTGACACGCATCGGTTCCTTACACTGAGACGGAGCGTGCAAGCGACACTGTTCGCAACTGCGAACGACTTGGGCGATGTCATTAGACAAGTGTGGCCAGTATACGACTTGTCGAGCTCGACGCTGTGTGCGGTTGAGGCCTTGGTGGGAGGCATGAAGATCCTGGAGCACACGTGGGCGGAGGGTACGCGGGACCACAACACGTTGGCCTTTCAGGACAAGATCACCGTCGACTGAAAGATGCTCGCGGATAGTGAAGTACGGTTTCACAGCTGAGTGGACGGCGCGCTGATCATCAGGGAAGCCTTCACGAACGGCTTGGAGAAGGGCCTGATAGTCATCATCGGCACGGGCAGCGTCCAAGAGCTCGCAGTGCCGGAGGTCTGCAATTCGGCCATCCTCGTCCTGGCGGAGACATGCTCTGATGGCTGGTGCTGAGAGCGTTGAGCTTTCACCGAATTCTTCCTCACTGGTCGGCTTGTCGACCGGGTTACGGGACAGTGCATCAGCAAACGCATTCTCTTTGCCCTTGCGCCAGTGCGACGAGTTGAAACGACCGGAGTTTCAGTGCGAGGCGTAGCAGACGTGGATTTTCTATCTGATCCAGGGTGTACTTGTTCAGAATCGGGACCAATGAACGGTGGTCAGTGAACAAATCGAATCGGCTGCCGGACAGAAAGAGGGAGCACTTGTGGACAGCCCAAACCACAGCAAGTAACTCCAGTTCTATGACGGCATAACGTGTCTCTGCGTCGGTGAGAAAGCGGCTGCCACACTGCAGCATGCGCCACTGGTTATCTTGGCGTTGCCATAACACCAACCCAAGTCCGTTCAGGGCAGAGGCGTCGGTCTCTAGCCGAAGGTCGTCACCAGCACGGTAGTACGAGAGAGTCGGCGGCGATATCAGTTCAGACTTTGTGGCGTTGAAAGCCGCGGTGTGGACATCATCCCACACGAACTCATTCGTGGTCTTCAATAACGGACGTAGCGGAGCTGCGAGCTCGGATATCCGTGGGGTGAATTCTCCACACTGATTCACCAGACCGAGGAAGGAACGGAGGTCGGTACGATTGGTGGGTAGGTTGAAGTGCTGAAGAGCGGATGTCTTGTCAGCTGGCACGGTATATCCGTTGGACGACACATGAAACCCACAGAATTCGACTTCAGCAGCGGCGAAGACAAACTTCTTTTGACTGAGAGTAATTCCGTGTTCGCGTGCACGGGTCAGGACGGCACGGACGTGAGCGACATGGTCCGAGAATGACTCATCGTGAACGAGGCCGTCGTCCACCACCTTGATAAGATGGGTCAAACGGTCGAAAGCTGCGTCGGTGCGGCGGTTGTACTCATCGCCGGCGGACACAAGACCTTGTGGATTCCGGCAGAATCGGTATCTACCCCACGGCGTGATGAACGTAGTGAGAGACTTGGCAGACTCAGACAGGGGCACCTGCCAATAGCCATGACGGGCGTCAAACTTGGTGAACCATCGGGCTGTGCCGATGCCAGAGAGAGCATCACGTGCGTTCTGCATGGGGTGGGTGGGACGCTTCACTTGTCGGTTGAGAGACTGAAGGTCCACAGTCAGACGTTTCTCACTAGAATTCTTCTTGTCGACTACAACAATGGGGTGGCACCAGTCGCACGGCTCTGACACTGTCTCGATGATGCCTTCCTCAACCATATTGTCGAGCTGGGTTTTCACCTGCTCACGGTAGGCATGTGCGATAGGACGAGCTGTGTAGACTCGGTGAGGTTTCGCATCATCTTCGAGAATGATGTCCATTGGCTTGCCACACATGGGTTTCAATGTCGTGTCGTCGAAGACGTCTGCGAACTCTCGCAGTAGGTCAGCACGGATCTGCGCCAGCTTGCTAGGGTCAGGTGTGTTCACGAGACCGGTCGTCACAACGGGAGCCGTTGGAGGTGGTGTGCTGCTGGTACTAACACGCGCAACTTGCTTGGGCCAGCCGTCTGGTAAGAGGCCTAAGGCGTATAGCGATTGGCGTGACAACAGGGGTTCACGCAGTCCACGGTACACATGGATGGTGCTATCATGCTTGAGCGAGCCGATGGTGAGAGTGGCAGAGATCTTGCCAGCTGAAACGAGACGTTCACCATTGGCAGCATGCACATTATCATGGTCTGTGGCCAGATTCTCCACAAAACCACCGAGATGCGCTAACTGATCGACGCCAATAGCGTCAATGTCACTTCCCGTATCGGGGATCCATTCTAGGGAGGTAGCGTCAGGTTCAGTGCACAATTGCGTGTCGACTGGCACCGTAGGGGATGCATCACACTGAGCGCGGCGGAGCTGTAGTCGTCCCAGCGTGCGCTGCGAGGACTGGTCAGCCGGTTTGCGGGATTTTCTGCACACCGCTTGGAAATGTCCAATAATCTTGCAGCCGCTACACTTTTTGCCATGTGCAGGACACTGCGACTTGCTGGCATGGGGAGTGCGACCACAATTCGGACATTGCGATGGCGTGGCGGACGCCTGTTGCTGTCGCGGGTTATTGCCGTGTTTTGACCGCTGATAATTTGTTTTCCGAGCGGCATTGATGGAGCTAGTGCCGGGGATACTGCTGCTCGTCCGAGAGGCTGCCTCCTCCGCTCGACACAATTTAATGACCTTCTCCAACGTTAGATCGGTAGTGGCAAGGAGCTTATGGCGTGTCTCCGTGTCGAGAATGCCAGTAACCAGGCGATCACGCATGGTCTCGTCGTACCTGGTACGCTGTCCCTGCTGGCATTGGCGGCATACTCTGCTTGAACAGAAATTGCAGAGTGCAGCTTCGCTGAAATCGCAGCAATTGTGGATCTCCCTGAGGGAAGTCAGGTACTGATCGAAGGACTCTCCATGCTGCTGTTGGCGGGCATAGAAGGCGATCCGGTCCAGCAGAGGGTTACGCTGGCCGCGAATGTATGCCTGTACAGCCTTGATGAGATCGTCGTCGTCGTGGTTGTCAGCCAGAGGAATTGTGCCCTCACAAAGAAATCTCCGGAGGTCCTCGTCCAGGCACTGACGAACCGTTGCCACTCTGGTGGCATTGTCCTGGGAATCCAGGTGCTGGCACCGGGCGTAGTCCCGCCAAAGACCTTCCCATGCGGCAAACTCTGCGAGAGAGGCAGAGGCAAGTAACATAGGGCGATCGACCGAAACTGGTCTCGCCGCAGGTACATGTTCTCGTGCCGGTGGGGCTGGGGGTGGACGTTGCGGTGGTGGAGGTTGAGAAATGCTCCTCAAAGTTCGCTCCACGAGCTGTGTCAGGTGTTGCTCGCGGGTGGCGGCGGTCTCCATCTGCTGTCTCATGAGCTGGGCGAGGGCAGCAATGTCAGGGCTGAGTACTGGTGTGTCTGATTCCGCCATGCCGAAACGGAAATTTCAAATAATTATTTCACTATATTTGAGAGACGAAACGCCAGAGGTACTAGCAAGACCCAGGAGTAGAAAGACTGATGGAAACTGCTACTAAAACAAGTTCACTGCGCCATGTGGTATCATCAAGTCTATGTGATGATTAGTTATATTGAAATAGAATAATGCAACGAAGGACTGAGAGAGGACGACTATTCAGGAAACTACCAAGGAAAGACTGAACAGCAACAAGAGGCATGCACTGTCGATTATGGGCACGGAGTACACACATGCACGCATAGTATGAGTAGTATGCTGTAAGGTTGTACGCACGTCCATGCAAGGAGATGCAGTAGCATAATAAGAAACATGAGAGTGCAAATATGTACGATGTACACGGGTACACCACACGCACAAACAGCATTTTTTTTGGACAACTTTGCAGCAAGATGTATCAACATAGACAGTTCCAAAATGCAGCAAAACCCAGTCCATATGCCTATGCAGGGAATGAACTACAATGAACTCTATCTGACAGGTATTACTACCCCAAATGCAGAGACAAAACAGGACGAGCCGCAAAACGCGTAAAATAGAAGGCACTGTGGGAGCTCAAAATCCAATGTAAAAGGTCCTATGATCACCATTGTAGTTCAATCCCTGCGCAACAAGTCACTGATTCCAAAAATGTATGGGTTGATAGGTCTAAAATAAACACACTAGCCGCAATCATGTCCAAGAAGGCAGAAAAAGGCCAAAAAGCACAAACATTTAGGTGTCCTTTTCATAGATTCTAAGACTATTGTTCCAACTAAAACCCACCAGCCTCGTATGTGACACCCTCAGCTTCCACAATCTGCTCCTCAATTCCCTTCCTGCACCTCCTCCTTTGTTTCCTTCGCTGTTTTTCCTCCTGCTTCATCTTCTTCTCAGCCTTGGCCACTCTAATACTATCCAACATGAGCTGGCGTTCTGCAAAAACGCCAGGTGCGGTTGCAGAGAGGGATATGGCCCGACTTCCACTTCTCATACTCGTCAGCTGTGACTTCACTATGCGCCTGGCGAGCTTTCCACAAGCTGAAGCCATGGCAGTACTTGGAAGCTAGATGCACATCAAGGACCTTCCCGACTTGCCAGTCAATTGCCGTAAACGCACCGTGTAGGGAGGAAAACCCGCGCTTCATTCACGTACCATCATAGGTGACAGCAGTTATATGCTTAGGCCTGTCCATTGTCTTGTTCATCTGCTGCTTCGTTCATGCTGATTTGCGCAACTGACCTTGCCGCCTTGCACAATGCTCGCTGGTGCCGCTGGAATGCAGATAGCTGAACAGGTGGGGCAAATTCATGAGGCCGCAAAAAATTTGCCAGCCAACATGGCCAATTCCCAGCGTGCGCAATGCCAGAACACTGCGGCGATTGCACTCATAAAACTGTCCTGACTTCTCCACCACTGGCAGGCTGGTGCCTGCTGAACACTGGCTCTTCATTGCAACATGTGATTCTGACAGTGGATGCAAGGCCAGAACGTGCAGTTTCAGCAATGGTCAGCTCACCTCCACAGTATTTTACACGAGCAAGCAGAGAAAATCAAATTTCGTAAACAATTCAAGTCCAGTGGCGTCTGAATCACAACTTTCAGCGATTGGGCCATGACAGTCTTCAGAGAACGAGGAATCACTTGAGGGAGCAACTGTCTGAGTTCGAGGCCAGCGTACATCCATCAAAGCTCTCCTCCGAATCCGATCCACCATCGCTCAGTTGAATCCATTAATTTTTTATTATGATCACTGTATTCTTATTTTTGGAACGCCATCGTACAACTTGCGCTTCGAGGCGGACTCTGGCACTGCTTCAGCTTCATAAACTCCCTCAGCCGCTTCCTGGACAGGTGCTGCGTGCAGTGAGAATCTTCTCTTTGCAGGACGCTTGCACGACCTGCTCTTCTTGTTCCCCATTGTGCATCGCGCTCGAAACTGCAACAGCAAAGAAGTCCTTTGGGAAAGAATTTTTTGCACTTTTTTTGCACGTGGCACGGGTCACTGCTGCCATGGCAACAAAATTTGGAAGTAAAAGCGCTTCAAAACTCCCAAACTCCACGGCCACAATCTTGACAGCTCGTTTAGTGCACGAGCATCGCGATGTGTACAATTAATATTTTTTTTCAACTTTTTAGTGTACGAACATCGATGTGTACAAATTTTTCAAATATTTTCAAATTTCAAACGGTCATATGACCATGATGACTGCAACGGTTGGTCCGAATCGCTTCAAATTTGGAATACTGACACCTCAGGGCATATGCTTTGATTTCCAAAAGCAAAAAGATGACAAATCGAAAGTTGATTTTTTGACCCCTGGAAGGTGGTGTCCCACCTTAAGGCAAAAATTAAAATTTCACCAGTTGTAGTCTTCGGGGTGCTGAGTCGAATGGTCGTGGTCCGAGGAAGCTGAGACGCTCCCTTCCTACTTGAATCCCAATCGAACTCGCGCACTTCCACCGAAACTGGGTGACTGCGCCCTACGAGATGGGGATTTGTATGCAAAATGTCACTAAAAGCGCCATTTCCTTCTTATAAAAGCACGGATGACCGCGATTGGCCCATATGTTGTAGTCTTTTGGACGCTGAGTCGACTGGTTTTGGTCCGAAAAGGCTGCGATACAGCGTTCCGCCGTTATTCCCAATCGAACATGGTTGAACAAGCTGTCACGTGCTCCTGCGTACGCCAGTCACCTGGTCACCGTGCCTGCAGGGTACAACTTACTACTACTAGCCTGTTTGACCTTTTTTGGGTGCAGTCCTGTCACTCGAGTTGAACTCGAGTTGAACCTTGGTGTGAAAGTTGTCACCTGCTGGCGTGGTGACCACTGACCAGGTGATTTGGGCACCCAGGAGCACGTGACCATTTGCTCAACCATGTTCGATTGGGAATAAAGGAGGAACGCTGCATCGCAGCCTTTTCGGACCAAAACCAGTCGACTCAGCGTCCCAAAGACTACAACATATGGGCCAATCGCGGTCATCCGTGCTTTTATAAGAACGAAATGGCGCTTTTAGTGACATTTTGCATACAAATCCCCATCTAGTAGGGCGCAGTCACCCAGTTTCGGTGGAAGTGCGCGAGTTCGATTGGGATTCAAGTAGGAAGGGAGCGTCTCAGCTTCCTCGGACCAAGACCATTCGACTCAGCACCCCGAAGACTACAACTGGTGAAATTTTAATTTTTCCCCTTTAATCTGGAACGAGGCAATCACTCTCAACCGGACGGTCACTTCCAAGTAAGTCTCGCCAGTCTGCCGGTGGTCGTATCGAGTAGACTCTACTACCAGCACAAGGGATGCAGCAGTCGTAGGTCTACCAGTACCACCAAGAGTACATAAACCAGAGTGTGCAACTCGGGATGGTTCCTGTGGGAGCGTAATTCGTGCACTACGTCATTTCTGACGGCATGGTAAGCCACAGGTACGGTGAAAAGTTGCGTAACCAGTCGCGGTGGTGCAGTTCACTGAGTTTGTCCTGATTTCGGTTTTTTGAGACGGATAGCCTGGTGACTTTACTTGTCGGTGGATGTACGCAGCGTACACAGTCACACAAAACACCGAAATCCTGAAACAGGACGTCTAAAATCAAGCAAACTTGGCTGATTTCCGGGCTATGAAACATGAAAATTTGAGCTCTACGCAAGTCGCGGCTTGGCTGATCTCATCAGGGTGACGTAGTGCACGAACTGCGCTGTTTCAGATCTGATATGCACAGTTGCACACTCTGGTTTATGTACTCTTGGTACCACTCACTGCACTGCACTGCAGTACAAACTACAAGTCAAGTCCAAAAGGAGCCGCCTGCGTCCGCAGACTCACGCTGCACAGCACATGAGCACGTAGACGTGGACGTGTTCAGTCCACGTACGTCAGTCACACGACAGCCCGCCGAAAAAAAGTTACGGTCGGGCTGAAAAATGTACGGTCGGTCGGGTGAGTCGAACCACACAGACCTTCTTCAGTGTGGCCTAATTATTTTATTCATGCAATGTAAAAACGGTGCAGGCCCCGGTACCGGTGGAGACGATGTGCAATAAAACGATGAAAATAATGAAGAAATGGTATAGGGAAAAATATATGCATTCAAACAATTGTTAAAATTCACACTTGTAAATTTCACTGCTGTTGCTCTTATATATAGCTTAGTGTTATTTCTCTAACTTAGATTTTCTATAATAGTTCAATTTTTGTTTCAGTGTCCTTTAGTACAACGACGATTCCTGATGAGTGTTGTACGAAAACTTGTTTGAATCCATATTTTTCCCTACACCATTTCTTCATATTTTCATCGTTTTATTGGTAAATATTTTCTCCGGATTTGTGTCACTTGAACTGCCTCGGTCTCGGTTGGGCATGCTTCACAAATGGCTTGTATACATTTACCTGATCAGACGGACAGTAGCTGCCCTAGCTTGTTTATACAAGCTACAAGTAATTACGGGCCCACCTCAACTTCTCGCGGTTCTGCCAGCTCGCCGTCAGCAGTCGGTCAACCCGCGAACCCGGAGCGACCATGCCAGCGCTGCTGGCCACCGGTTTCAACTGGACGCCAGCCTGCCAGCCTCTACCCCGTTAGTCCTGAAGCGATCATTTCCCCACTGTGTGCTCCACCAGTGGAATGCATTGCCCTGTGATCTGCTCCTGCATCCTCCCCATCGCAGCCGAATGAAGGCATTCAAGACGCAGGTATACCGCTACCTGCGCGCCGAGAACTGGATGTGGGTTACTGACTCAGTCTAAACTCAGTATCTACATGTAGGTATTGCTCTCTTTTTCCTTGTTTTCCTCTACTCTCTGTCTCTCTCTCTCTGTCTCTTCTCTGTCTCTGTCTCTCTCTCCTTCTCTTCTCTCTCTTCTCTCTCTCTCTCTCTCTCTCTCTCTCTCTCTCTCTCTCTCTCTCTCTCTCTTCTCTCTCTCTCTCTCTCTCTCTCTCTCTCTCTCTTCTCTCTCTCTCTCCTCTCTCGTCTCT